CGTGCAGACCTCTCCTGCTGCACCCACTGCTCCCCTCAGCAGTGTATTTCGTCACTCTGCCTGTTCTGTTCCCCACTCTGGCTCTGGTGAATTCTCTCACCCTCCCTGGCATCTGGCCTGTGCCCCGCCCAGTTCTTGTATAAATAAATAAATCTTAAAAAAAAAAAAAAAGAAAGAAATTAAGGTTAAAAGAGTAGATACATGGGTGCTATCTTTTTACTATTATTGCAAAGTACCCTTTTCAAAATTGGCTCAAAGTGATCACTGAAAGATTTTATTTGTGCTTCTTGACTAAAAGCATACACTAAATCCTGATGCTCCCCCTAACTTCTTTTGCTTCTCTTTTCTAAAATCACCTGCTGTATTCCTTTTAGATAATTTTTAGAATCTACTTAATTTTTAGTAGAGATGAAGGTACTGAAAGACCTGAAGTTATGATATGTTACATAAGAATGTCCAGCACCCTGAAGCAATGCAAATCTGACTGAGATATTAAATATGGAGCACATCAAGGAGATATCCAAGTTAGGCAACCAATTGTATTAACTTCAGTAAAATATTGTCAATTTCCACACAGTTTAGGGCTTGAGCTCTGATAAGAAGCCAGCTAATGCATTCAAAACAAAAGCTTCATTTAAATTGCTTAGACCTCTATGCAGTCCTACAAAATGTCTTATTTCTCAATGTAATCCTAGAAGGAAGTTCAATCCTGGTATACTGCCTGGCACATCGATTTAGCTGAACTGAACTTTGCTCCCAATAATTCTCTCTCGCACTAAAAACAAAACACAAAATGCATCAAAATTCATTTCAGTAAAGCAACTCTGGCAACTGAAACTACAAAATCAACAACTATATAAGAACTTATTTTCCAACTCGCGGAACAGTTAAGGAGCAACTAATCTATGTTATGTATCTGAAAATAGATCCACATGTGTCTTCTAGCAATAGAACTAAAATGTTTAATATACTTTGTCTTTTACATTTATTTTAGTTTTCATAAAAATCTTGATACATGAAAAACATTTAATAAAATTTATCAAATTAGTAAATCAATTGATGGGAGAGTTCACTTTATAGGTTGATGAAATGGGGGAAAAGCAAGTTTTATCAGGATGTTCTGGGCTATAATGACCTAATAGCAATCTGAAAGTCACAGAAACAATCTGGATGTGTCTCTCACATGAAATCTGGCACCAGGGCTGGTTCTGAAATGAGGCTGTCTCGTCCTGTTCTGGCAAACTTTTAGACACAAGATGTTTGTAACACTTGCAGCATGATGTGCTCTCACACTGACCCCCAAAGTAGGAAGAGAGGCATTGTCCTTCACCAACCTCTTTCCTTTTACTAAGGAGGAAATCTTCCCAGAATCTCCTAAAAGTCTCTCTGTTACGTCTCTTTGGTGAGACTGGCTGATAGGAGGTTGGGAAAGCCAACAGCAAGTATTTTCACCCTGTCATGGGAAGTGTGTATCAGAGGTTCATTGTTAAAATTAGTGAAACATTATCTCTGCCCTTTAGGCATTCAGGGCAACAACACAGAGAGCAGGCTGCTGTGAAATTTGCTGATTAAATACAAAAGGAAGGCCATAAAGGAAAATCATTTTCTTAAGCCTAGGCTACAAGGACGTTTGCTGTGAGAGCTAACAACTACAACATACCTAAGTAGCTTGGAATCCTTGACTAGAAGTCCTGCTGTACAAAGAGTCATCCAGGGAGCTACGTTCTTTATAAGAAGGCCCAAGCAGTTTTAGTTTGGATGAGGAGGCAGTACCTAAATTAAGTAACGAAAGCAAATGCCTGGGTTGACCAAAGAAGGTGGCATGAGTGGAATATTACTGACATAAACCTTGTGGTGAGGCTTTTCCAACTCAGAAATTACTAGTCTTCCTAGGAGTTGTGAAGCAGGGGAAAAGCATGAAATTGTGTTGAATAAAAAAAAAAAAGTCCACTGAATTGGACGTAATAAAAGATATTTGTGGCTTAAAAATGGTTCTAGTTTTAGTGAATGTTTGTTTTAAGCAGGAGGAATTGAGAGGGAGAGATTTCCTTCCTACAGGAGAAAAATTTGATATTGTAAACTGACTTATAAACTGTAAATACCTCCAACAGAAAAACATCCATTCTTTGTGCTTAAATAAATGACAGTTGGTAAAAATGAGGTAGCTTCTATTAGTTCAGTAATTCTTAAAAACTGAGCAACAACTTCGTTGTTTACCTAAGTTTGTACCTTACTAATATTTATATTGAAACTGAAAATTGACCACATACAATGGATTATCTTTCTGCTTAACATATGAGCCTGTTTTGGCAGCACTTTCATAACTCATAACAGCACAGACTGTAATCACTATTGCTATAGGGTACCAAGAAGGCGTATGCTCAGGTCTTAACCAAGTGGTTTTATTCATGATGGTTCAAAAGAAAGAGCTTATGAAAACACCAAAGGCATTTAAAATAAATTTGCAGTCACTTCTTTATCTACTTTTTGAAGTACCATTGATTCTACCACGGTATACGATTCAGAGGAGAGTTTGCCCCTCCTCAGATACACGTGACATATCCCACCTCACCCATCCCAGGGCACCAATACCCCTTTATGGTATACCATGGGGCCCTACCCTGTTTTCATCACCTCTCCCCCTCCAGCAGCTGCAATTCTACAGTCATTTTTAGATTTTGTTTTGGTTTAATTTTCTTAGTTCCTTTGATTAGTTTCCCTTTATTTCACAGGAATGAAATGGGTTTGATATTTGTCTTTCTCCCTCTGGCTTATTTCACTGAGCATAACCTACTCCAAGTTCATCCATGTTGTTTCAAGAGGCAGTTCATCTTTTTTTTTTTTTAATAGCTGAATAGTATTCCATTGTGTATATGTACCTCATCTCCTTAATCCGGTCATCCGTCATTGGGCAGTTGGGTTATTTCTATAACCTGGCCACTATAAAGAGAAAATAGGAGTGCAGATATCCCTTTGAATTAGTGTTTTTTCATTCTTTGAATAAATGCCAAGGGGTGGAATTACTGGCTCATACAGTGGATCTATTTTTACTATTATGAGAAACCTTCATACTGTTTTCCATAGGCCTGAACCAGTCTACTTTCCTACCAATGATGCAGAGTTTCTTTTTCTCCATATTCTCCCTGATATTTGCTGTTTCTGATTTTTTGATACAGGTTATTCTCACTGGAGTGAGATGGTATCTCACTGTGGTTTTGACTTGCATCTCCCTGATGATAAGTGATGATAGACAGTTTTTCACAGTCATATGTATGTCTTCTTTGAGGAAGTGTCTATTGAGCGCTTCTGCCCATTTTTTTGACTGCGTTATTTGTTTTCTCGTTGAGTTGTATGAGATCTTTACACGTCTTGGATAAATTAGCCCTTGTTCAGATGTATGGTGTGCAAATATTTTCTCCTGTTCAGTTGGATATCTTTTTGTTTTACTGATAGTGTCTTAGACTGTACATAAGTGTTACAGTTTGATGTAGTCACATTTGTTTCTATTTACTTTTGTTTCTTTTGCCATGGGAGAAGAATTCATAAAAACTTCACTGAAGACAGCACTGTAGAGTGTTTTGCCTATGTTTTCAATATATTCCATGGTTTCCATGTCTTTAAGCCATTTAGAGTTAATTTTTGTCAAAGGTGTGAGATGGTGATCTATCTCCATTCTTTTGCATATGGCTGTCCAGTTTTTGCAACCCCATTTTTGAACAGATTTTCCTTCCTCCAGTGTATTATACTCTTGGCTTCTTTGTTATAAATTAACTGTCCAGAGATGTGTGGGCTCCATTCCAGATGTGACTGCTCCCTCAAGACACCTGTTCTTAGTGTTCCTAAAGGAAGCAATGACTGAAGGATCTTGTCCATCCAACATCTTCAGAACTATACCTACAATCTAAACATTCTTAATAATTTCTTTCCTAGCCTGTTATATGTTGGTTATGTTTATGTTTTAGAAAAAGAACTTCCCAATTCTAAACTCCCACTCCTTCTCCAACCTGACTCAACAAATATAAAATATCTGTTTCCTTTAGTCATATGTAAATGAACTATAAATGGACCAGATATATTCCAAACATCTAATAAGCAAACATTTATTTGAAAATAATTATAAATACAGAAGTCATGCCATCTTATCAACAAGTCTAATGTACTCTAAAATAGGATGTAAATTTATCTGTTCTTGTCCCTTCCTTTACTCCTGCAAATTCCAAAGCCAATCCTTTCATTTGTAAACATGATCTGTGTTTTCTTTATTGTTGCTCACACTTTTGTCTTGCTAATTTACTTTCCACTTGTTCACTACAAAGTTTCCAAAATCTTTTTTTCATATATCCAAAAGCAAATAATTTAATATTTTTAGTCTATTCCCAACTTCACATTAAAGGATGGGGGGAGGTAGGGGATAGGGTGTGAAGGGGAAGCAATTAAGTTTTAAGAGGTAATGCTAAAATAGACCTACCTCTATACCACCAAGCAATAAACATGTTGCATTCCTAACTATAGAAAATAAGCATTTCTATAGATTTTACAGTATACAAGCACAATGAAAAGTTTTTGTTAAAAAGGGATCTGAACTAGGAATGTCCAGAAAAACTAGCACCTAGTATAATTAATTATTAGATGAATGTGAATCAATCAGTTCATTTCAAGTACCTTTATTTACACAGGCCAGTTTCTGGCCTAAACTTACGACGAGCATGACATGTACTAAAAAACAATTACTAAATTATTTACTCATATCCTTCAAGTGTTGATCTGTCTAAAACCGTATCTACGTCCTTGAAGACAATTTCTCTTTCAACATGAGGTGTTTCAAAAATAGATCAAAATAATCTACTATGATCCACCAAGAAAAAAAAAAAATGGTGAGTATTTTTTGGTGAAGAAATATGGGAATGATTTTAATAGTTAAGGAGTTTAGTTAATCTGCAGTTGTAGGGTAGATACATTAACACATAAAATGAACTTAAAATAATTTGTGAATATCTTACCAAATCCAGGAACACTTTTAAGACTGGCTTTCAGGCAAATTTTTTCCAATCTGAGGTAGCTATATCTCATCAGACAATTCCACAGGAACATCCAGTCCATTCTTGTCCGATGATTCATAATAATGACACTTCTTTCTCCAGGAACAAAAGCATCACCTGTTATAATCACTTTTACACCGAACATGGTTTCCAGCAATGCCTAGGAAAAAACAATATAGATACACAACAATTTAAAGTTTTAATTTCCCAGATGTAAATTTCATTATGTCCTATAAATAAATCTCTTTCAACAAATAAGTCAAAAGCATGTTTCTCATGAGTCTTGTTTCTATCATAAATAAGGAAAAAATTAATATAGAAGGATGAGAACATAAAGGTATTATATATACCTTTAGTTCTACTAATTTAAGTTCCTGACAGTTTTCTAATTAAAAAAAAAATGTTAACAATCATTGAAATCTTCAAGATATAAGAAGTACAAAAGGTATAGAACAAGATTCCAATCTATACATTTTTATAGCTATAGATACATGAGATTGTTAGTTTCTTCTAATAGAAAAGATAGTCAAGAAATTTAACACTGGGCATAGGGCTGTGGGAATACAAAGTCAAGTTTTTTATTTATATCATATCACAAACCAAGACATGTATCTATGTAACACTATGTAAAAAAATGTAATAGCTATTTTTACTGAAGTGTTCCAGTACCTTTAACCATGCCTGGGACATAGAAAATGCTCAAATATATGCTTGATTTATTTAATTAATTTTCTAATAATATATGAAAACAAAGTATATTACAGACTGGAATTCTGAACAGATTTTAGCCTCTAAGTCATTTAAATCAAGTAATTTAAGTAAATTTTAAGTAGTTTTTTAAATTTTTAAAAAATTTTTAAAAGTAATTTTACTTAAATTTTAAGTAAATTTAAGTAATCTTTCTAATACCAGACAGTAACCTATTTTAGGGGTAAATACATAGTGATTTCCAATTTTGATTAGTGACTACTTCTACCAAATAAGGTGGCGTAGCTTGCTGCAAAGCTGACAGTATTCTGTTATTTGACAGGTTTGGTAGTTATATGAAAGAATAATAAGGCTTCAAAAACAATAAATAGAACCAAGAAAAAAAAAACAGGTTAAAAGGAATTAGTAGTTATAGAAAAGATGTTAGGAATGTTTTATGTCCAATGTATTACAGAGTCAGTGCTAACACCTTAACTGCTTTGGACACATGCAAACAAACTTTGACCCTAACAATACTGATGATGTAGAAAAAACATCCAAAAGTGAAATAAACAGACATGCACTTCCCTTTATAGAAATTTTCCAAGGGAGACTGAAACTTCATAGATTATCAAAGAATTTTTGCCCACACGGGTAGGTTAGACTAGGTGACCTCTTGCAAACATTTTCACTGTGGTACATATATCATTTAACACAGAAAATGTGCTCCTGAATGTAGTAAGAAAACTCTTGTCAATGAAATCATCTTAATGCACAAGAGAAACTTACAAAAGATTACTTTGTGAAGCAATAATTAGTCTAAATGCATTTGCCCTACTTTATTTTTTGGTGAAAAATGATTTGGGGGTTGATTACAATAAACTATATCTATTGGGGAAAAAAGATCATTTCTTTTCATAAGGAGTTTTAATTTATTTGCTTCAAAATGGCCCCTTTAGCTCCTTGTTAAAAATATGAAATAAAAGGTTATGAAAGAAACTTTGAGAGTTTTTCTCCATTTCTGTGAAAAGAGATATTCGCTATCTTATAACTAGAAAATCAATGATCTGTAACCCAACTATGAGGGATTCAATTTCTATAAATTTCTTACTGAAAGAATCTTTGTTGGACATGCTGTTAGCAGTAAGCAAGTCAGTGAGTTAAAGTGCTCGGTTGCAGGCTTTTTTTTTTTCCCCAAATATATAACATTTCAGTACTTCAGTGATGTCTGAATCTTGCCTAAGTTCTCAAGTAAGATAAATAAGGCAAAAGTCAAAAATAGCTGAAATTAACCTCGAAATTTTCTAGGAAGCTTTCTCATAAAAGACCAGCACACTCTCAATAAGCCCAGCTCACCCAGTTTATTTCTGAATGTTGGACCAGATGTCTTCTGCCGACCATGAGATAAAGTGAGTGTTTTGCATGTTGTTTTAAATACAAGAATCATACTCAGCATAGGACTAATCACACAAAGTGTGTGTGTGGAGAGGGGAGGTATGGGAAGAACCCTGTGTTTAAAAAATTCCTTCTATCTTCCTCACCCATCCTAGTGCATGTAACAGAAGCTATATGTTAGCAGCGTATAATGTAATTCTACAGAAATGCTGATGACACTATTAATAATAACAGTAGAACCAGTTATGGTAGAATTTGTCTAGTAAAACCCAACTTTTCTTTAATAGATCTTATTTAGACATGGCTGTCCAGACAAAAAAAAAAAAAAAAAAAGGCAAGACTACAATTCTCCAATTCTATTATAGTTTTTAGATTCTCACCAATGGGATAAGCAAGAGAGATATGCACCTTGTAATTCACTACTCCCAAAAGAAAGCACTGGCTCTACTGGACTTCCTCCTTCCCACGTTTTACAACAAAGTGGGTCAAAAAAGAGGCAGTCTTGACCCTATGGAAGAGGATGTGTTTAATTAATGACATAAATTTATTAAAAAAAGTTATCTGAATCTTAATTTTTTTCATTGTTTTGTAAAAAATAGAAATGCAAAATGATAAAAAACTTCAATGTATATATAACTTTAGGTCTGTGCATTTTGCTCGATTTTTGGAATACAGCCCTAAAATAGATTTCAAACACATGCATTATTTTATACCTGTCTAGTTTTTTTTTAAATTTCCCCCTTTAAATGCTAATACACCTGGTTATATACAACAAGGACTTACATGTTTCTTCTAACAAAATCAATGGGATGGGCATTTTGGTACAGTCTCCTTCGTTGGTATGTAACTTACCACAGGAAACGTGAGCCAGGTTGCCACCAGGTGGTTGGTGATCCAGCGATACCAAGATGGGTTTACAAATATCAAAGGTAGAAAGGGACCCAGCATGAAAATGCTTCCGAAAAAGCTTGCCCAAAACAGGGTGAGTATAAAGTAAATTCCTTTCCATGACGCCATGATTCTGAAAGATATTAAAAAAAAAATATTTTACTCTACATAAATCTGCCCAAATTCAAATTTCAAAATGATGCATTTAATCTTTAGTCACAGAACTACCATAAGTCTCTGATAAAGAAATTAAGTGCTTGAATACCATAAAGGTGACCTTATATGTCCTACATGTCTAAACCAAACAAGTTGTTAGTACATTAGAAATTGAACTCTCAACAGAATAAATATTTGATCCATCAAAAAACTTGTCTAGTTTAAGAAGCTGTCTAGTTTTTGATCTATTTATTGGTATCAACATAAAGCTGTGGCCCAGAATGTTACGCAATACAAAAATCTTAGAGTATTTCAGAGTATTTTTATATTCTGCTAAAAAAAAGCAAACTTAAAGGATTAAGAACTTCAGAATAGCTTCCTAAAGGTCAGGATGCCTAAAAGTGATGGCAGTTTTACAAAGTACACTATTAAAAAATTGCTAACTTAGAAATGATAATTTTCTGAATTCTTTAGTTCTCTGAATCTAAAAGTAATATCTGTAGGCAACTGGTTTTAAAATGACTCTTCATGAGCTGAAAGGTGAAGCAGAAGTCAGACTCCTCACTCACTTTCTTACTATTTGCCAAAGGATTACATTGAGGATCCTCAAAATCAGAACAACAACATATTAATGGTTTAAAATAAACTGTACAGTTTACATCCTAAATTTCACTGGAGCAAAAATATCATTTGCCTTAGGATAATGAAACTGTTGGAATCATTAAAACTATGAAAACAGTAATGGTCTTAAAATTTACATACTATAACAGGGATTCTAGCAATCAAGACTTATGAATATTTAAAAATCAACAAGCAACTATAAACCAGAGACCCAACTGGGGGTGGGGGGAGAGTAGGATGAAAACAAAGGGGGTGGGAATTGTATGGGAACTATAACCATGACGAAAACACATACATTGTGCAAAAATGAAAAATGATGTAAAAAATACGTAAAATTAAAAAAAAAGAATTGAAACCAGAAAAGAAAGCATAATAAATAAATAAATAAATAAAATCACAACAGGAAACAAACAACAAAATAGGTCAAAACTTTTAACAACAGAAAATCAAGTTTATCTGGGCCCTGAGTATACTTTTAAATCTCCACCAATACTTGACAGTATAAGTACAAAACCCTTTAAAGTAAAAAAAGGGGACTCTAGTCCCTAGAGTCAAATAAGGGGGTAGGGGGTACAATTGTATGGGGAATATAACCATAATGAAAATGCATACATTGTGCAAAGATGAAAAATGATATAAGAATTATAAAAAATAAAATATAAAAAAAAATAAAGTAATAAAAGGGGAGAAAATCTGCTAAGAATTGTTTTTATTAAACCCTACCTCTGAATTCTATGAAGCAGAATGAGGGGGTAAGACCATAGGAAAGCAATGGCCAAACAATCTGCTCACACAGAGCTTCAAATGCTTTGTGTTCCTACACACCCCCAGCCTGCTCTCTCTGAGGCTCTGTTCTTCCTCTTTGCATTGAAAGACACTAGAGGCAGCTTCTCTCCAGGCTTTAAATTTTATGCTTTTTGAAAATTAATTTTTCAATCATTATATATATATATTGGGGTTAAGTTTTCACATCTCTGTACATGCTTCACTCACCCTCCACCCAACCACCTCCAGTGTCAATGCCCTGTCCCCGTTCCTTCTTTTATCCCCCCTTCCCTCGGGTAACCAGTATGTTTTCCCCAGGGTCTAAAAATTTCCTTCATCCTGCTTTGCCAGTATGTTTTCTGGCTATTTTTATTCCTCAGATAAGTAAAACTGCAGTGTCTTTCAGCTGCTGACTTGTAAGTGCCCTAAAGTTGTTAACAAGGGGGAAAAGGCTTCTAAAAATCAGTATTTTCAATTCCCACCTCTTTTCATACTCCCCCCTCCCAAATCTGCAATGCTGCTATATTTGAAAACCCTGTGTTGACCTTTTCTTACTTAGTCTTTGTTCCTGCCAATTAGCCATTAGCTTTATATGTTTGGACACTAGCCCTTGAACTCCCTGAAGAGGCATACTTCACGTTGTATCCATATATAACTACCCTCCCCAAAGGCTCTGACATGCTTCCTCCTCACTATTTCTCCTCTGGTGTGATTAAAAGAAAAAGCAGCTTAGATATCATCAAATCAATTATTTTCATTTTCCAGAGATGACGATGAAAGACCAGATGAGTCCAGATGACTTTCCTAAGTTCACATAACCAAGCACTAGCGTCATCTTTTCTGCCTTCTGCTTCCATTGTGTCATGTCATCTCCTGCTAAGTCAACTTTTACAGATTTAAACAGATATAAAAGAACTGTCACTTGAGTACTACGATTACCCAGACCAAGTCTAATCTAAAGTTACTTTTCCATCCTACTCCTTCCCTATCCTAGCAATTATTCATTCAATGATTCAATAAATACATAAAGATTCCTACTGTGTGACTAATACTGCTAATTAATCATTGGGATAAAACAATAAGAAAAACATGCCAGGTTCTCACAAATCCAATGGCATCTCCAGCTCTCCTTATGAATGAATTCCTCCTTGGCACTACATTTAATCTATCCATATTCAGTGTCGTCTTCCAAACTCCAAGAGTTTGACAGACTAACTTGGTAAAGAATTATGCTAGTTACACACTTAAAACTTTGAATTTGCAGATCCACTCTGGCATATCACATCCCCACTAAATGCATATACTTTGACAAAGTCAGTTGTAGTCTAACACACATTACAAACATTCTCATCTAATTCAACAAAAGGCTTCACAAGTAAGGCATACATTTTATCAGTGCTATTTACAGGTAAAGAAATGAGAAACATAGGTCTCGTAAGTACAAGTCCAGAATACTGTTTATATCAAGATATGAGATAGCTTATACACGGAGCAGTCCCCCAAATAGCAGTGGGGCCAGTAAAATATTTAAAAGCCAAAAAGTAAATAATAAAAATAACCCATGAAGCACATTGGTTAAGCCACTGAAAATAAGGTTAGGGATCAATATAGCATCCATAAAACCAATCTCCCGCAACACTCTGAATCAGACTTACTGCATTTTGCTCAACTAGAACAGATTGGGAAATAATCTGTTTTTATTTAAAAAGTTTCTATTTATAAAATTTGTTGTATATTCATTACATTTATTTTTACATATCTTGTACTTATATATTAAATATAAATTTGGTTTAGGTTCAGCAAATTAAAAGATACCATTTCTTCCTGATTTGAATTAAAAAAGATGAAAATATTGGTAATACTCAACATTGACAAGGCTATAGTATACAAATTAGTATACTTTAGGTGAGTGATACGAAAGTATCTATCATGCAGAAATACTTAAAGATGTATACAATTTAAAGAGGGAGGACAACAAATTTTTAACAGATGGGAAGTAGGAAGCCAAGTATTGATTATCTTGGCAGCGCTGGAAATGGCAAAGTACAAATGAGTAAAGCAGAAAGTTGAGAAGAAACCTGCAGATTTCTCTAAAGGCTTGGAATCTGGCAGCACCAGGTAGCTCTGGACCCAAATAGGGATGAATGGGGGTTTACCAAAATAGAGCATCAGGTAAAAACTAAGATGCAGGTAGCCTTCCCGGGTCTCCTTTCTTCCCATGGCTATGTGTGACTGTCCTTACCCCACTCCAGCATACGTCTAGAAATGTCGGAAGAAGGTAAAATGGGTTTTCTGGACTAGGGAATAACAGCTAAGGGCACTGTTAGTGCTCTAAGAACAGTGAAATTAAGTAACCATATACATGCCAAAGCAAGGCTGGGACAAGATCTTTCCTTGTCCTGAGCTGTACAAGGTGGTAGCCACTAGCACATGGGGTTACTGAGCACTTAAAATAGGTAGTGTATCTGAGGAACTGAATTATTAACTGTATTTAAATTTAAATAGCACACGTGGTTAGTCACTACTAGACTGAAAAGCACAGCTCTAGGCAGATGACTACAGCACACTTCCCTTGGGAATCTAGCCAGACCGCAAGCAAAGATGAAAATACAGAGATACTAGTGCTTCCCTAATAAACGGCCAATCTAAATCATACCAAAGTAACTGAAAACCAAAGTTCACATAAGCTTCACCTACATGCAAGATTCTAACTGGCTTTTTAAGTTCCCTATATTTTATTGTGAGCACAACATATGTGAGGATAAACTGTTTAACGTGATAATCAAAACTAAGCAGAAGTATACTTGAAGAAAAACCACATATAGGAAACTATCTTTAATATTTTCAGGAAGACCAGTAGTACAGCCAGTAAATAAGAACAACATGCTCTTGTGGAGGGAAAATGAAAACAAACATTAAGGGAATAAAAAAGCTGTTAAATTTTAAAATAGCAAATGTCTAGCAAAAGCATTAGCCAAAATTTAAAACTCAGCAAAAGAATTAGAAAATCAAGCTGAGGAAATCCATCTAAACATTAAGCAAAAGATCAAGCTAGTTTATAATTTCTCAGGACCACCCCAAAAATAAATAAGCAACATTTGATCTTGATTCAACTGACAAAATCAAATGCATACAATGGAAGTATGGACACTAAGATCAATTACTGCAAATGTAGTAATATTCACCATTGCAAAATGATCACTTTCTAATAGAAATAAAAATGTTTTAACAACTAAAATAATCACAGCCTGATTGTTGTGATTATTCCACAATCTGAAAGAATTTAACTGTGTTCATTATTTTAAATAATTCAAGGCAGATGTTTTTTATGTAGTGTTCTCACACTAGATGAACACTTCACACCCAGACACAATCATACTGATTCAGGTTCTTAAAAACATAAGTGAAATATTTATGAGCTTACTAATTTCTTTTAAATTCTCCAATACATTTTAAATCTCTGAATGCATGTTAATTTGCATGACCTGATTCTGATGAACACTTCTGCATTTTTTGGAAATTAGTAATATAAACATATCTGTCTCCCTGATGAAATGCTGTGTTTCTATATTCCCCAGTGAGAACTGTATT